ATTTGTTTGTGCAGTATAAAGCTCTGAATGACGGAATCTTTTTGGAATTGTTTTGTTTGCATTGTCCCCTTTTCTCAATTTGAGAACGTATCGTGACGTGTTTTATCGAGATTTCGAAGTCAACTGTGGTTGATAAAGCAGGAAACCATTCGTTTCATCCAATGTGTTAGATTTATGCCACTTTTTATAATGACTGTAATTTGACAAGACTCCAGTGACCTGATATAAAACAACTTATACTTGTTCAAACACATCCGGATTGATTTCATCTTGTTCCGTAAGCCTGTGACATTATTTTCGTGTTCATAGGTTTAATGACACATTTGAAAGAAATAATTCAATTCGCGCTCGATAGTTAATGAACACTGACGAGGAAAAAAATAACACAAAAATCAATTTCTCTAAGGTGTCAAAACATTGATGATATCATGTACATATCTGAAGTACCCCGAGGACAAAAGAATGACCACCTGTCGCTGTTCCACATTCCAATATACCGTAATACCATCATACTAATTGTGTGGACGACTGTCACGTACACATTTATCGCCCTTTCCCGGTAACACTTGTCAGGTGTTACAGGGAAACTAGAAGTACTGAAGAGACAAGATGTCGATACTCCTTACTCCTCAGTCGTTCCTCTAAAATTTATAAAAAAAACAATTCTGGGAATCTTGACATATTTTTGAAGACAAGAATACCCTGACGATTGCTTCTGTAAATCTCGCCATACGACTCACGATATATACATATTTACCTAGACTCTCGATGCAATTTTCTGATCCTTAAAACGACATGAAAATTCAACTGAGATATGATTTGCATCCTACGTATTTGGTATCATATTTGTTACTTATGTAATGATTTGATTCTGGCGGTTACGAATAATATTACTCTATAAAATCTGAGATAGCATAACAGTGGCATGTTTTTGTTCCAATTAATGACTAATTTAAGATGTATATAGAATTGAACCTTGAACTTTTAGTTAATTCCTCTTATTTTAGAATGGTTTTGACCTAAAGTGATATTGCCTTCGTTAAACATTTGAAGTTTGAAAAGCAATTACAGGTATGTATGCATAAGAGAGCATTGTAGGATCGATTCTGGGATGTACTTACGTTTGCAAAACTAACTGGAACGAAAATTACCTTTGCATGGTTTAACAGACCTGCATGTAGCTTCAATAGTAAAACCTTAAGTTAAATTCCCCCCGCTGTAAATTGAGATACGGATTATAAAACATCCCACTTGCTTCGTTCATTCTTAGGGAACATATTGGGCAAAGTGTTCATAACTGTCAACCATTAGATTAAGTTTCTGAACATTGTCAATTGTAAGAAGCGGATTGTATCGAGAGTTGTCGTTCCTGGTTATGCAACGGTGCATTCCTACATGACAACTTGTAAACTCGGGCATAGCGAGATTTGACGTGGATGACACATGGTCATCTTTGATTGCTCTTGATCTGGGTCAGTGTGTTGTCGTTGTGGGAAGTAATGGTCACTCTGATCTAACGGTTGTTGACCTACAGGTCCGAACTCTTAAAGGTTTTGTGGTCAAAATGTTCCAAGGACCTAGATCCCAGTAAAGCATTAGAAAAGAAAACATTTTTATCGCCTCGTCAACAGCCAGTGTTATCATGACGAAGTGTCTCCTTGGTTACTTATTCATCGGACAACATGCGGGAGGCCCGCCACATACTTCCCTAAGTATTTGGTATAAAATGTCTTGCCTAAAGACACAACAACGAAAGCATATGACGATCCGTGGTATCCGTATGCCGTTGTGGTTGTGTTTATGAACAAGAAAAGAACACGTGTATCAGTGTGGCATTAAAGCAATCGAGAACATCCATATAAAGGAATATTAAACAACGCAGTACGTCAAGCACGTGGACAATGGTCAAGGTTATTTGGCTTTTTTTATGACAATTGCGTTCAACTACAGCTTTCACGAAATACATTAGACACATTCTTTCGTCCAACTAAACGTTAAATGTCACCCGAAAATGCAACAGGGACATTTATGATATATTATTAAATACATTGACCAACCATATTAATACACGGTACGTAAATAATAGTTTGAGGCTGGCCACATTAACTTGCTAACTCTGCTTCAGCCAGACTGACCAAGCTGTCCAATGCCTGGAGACATCCAACTCCTGTCGGCGTTTGTCAACTGCGGCCTCTGACATAAGTGTTACGGCGAAGGCTGATACACATAAATCGGTGTCCCTCGGGCGCTTAGCTTAGAGTTGCACAGACAACTTAACGATTTTTGGCTTTAAAACTTGGCAGCTTTCAAATGGGGAACATGTCAGATATCATGATTCAATTCATCCATTTTGTTTTTTTTTTCAAGTAAACATTTCTAGAACAGTATTACACAACTTCATGAAAAACAATTTTACAAAAGAAAATGTAAAAATGATATTTTACAATACAAAAACGGAAACATCTTTTGCAACGAAAATTGTAAAACACATTTGTGATAAAATCAAACTATATGTCATACTTTACAATACGACATATTTTTCCTTATGAGAGTGTTAGTTATATATATGTGAATATACAACCTTATTTATTTAAAGTTATACTCATCACTCTTGTGGACCAACTTGATCAGTAGGCGAACCTCTGCAGATTCATGTTATCGATTTGTAAGCTTTATTGATTTGTCAGTGATTTGTCAGTGTTACTGATTTGTCAGTGTTACTGATTTGTCAGTGTTACTGATTTGTCAGTGTTACTGATTTTTCACATTATCGATTTGTCAGTGTTACTGATTTGTCAGTGTTACTGATTTTTCACATTATCGATTTGTCAGTGTTACTGATTTGTCAGTGTTACTGATTTGTCAGTGTAACTGATTTGTCAGTGTTACTGATTTGTCAGTGTAACTGATTTGTCAGTGTAACTGATTTGTCAGTGTTACTGATTTGTCAGTGTAACTGATTTGTCAGTGTTACTGATATGTCAGTGTTACTGATTTGTCAGTGTTACTGATTTGTCAGTGTAACTGATTTGTCAGTGTTACTGATTTGTCAGTGTTACTGATTTGTCAGTGTTACTGATTTGTCAGTGTTACTGATTTGTCAGTGTAACTGATTTGTCAGTGTTACCGATGTGTCAGTGTTACCGATGTGTCAGTGATTTGTCAGTGTAACTGATTTGTCAGTGTTACTGATTTGTCAGTGTTACCGATGTGTCAGTGTAACTGATTTGTCAGTGTAACTGATTTGTCAGTGTAACTGATTTGTCAGTGTAACTGAATTGTCAGTGTTACTGATTTTTCACATTACCGATGTGTCAGTGTTACTGATTTGTCAGTGTTACTAATTTGTCAGTGTTACTGATTTGTCAGTGTTACTGATTTGTCAGTGTAACTGATTTGTCAGTGTAACTGAATTGTCAGTGTTACTGATTTTTCACATTATCGATTTGTCAGTGTTACTGATTTTTCACATTATCGATTTGTCAGTGTTACCGATGTGTCAGTGTTACTGATTTGTCAGTGTTACTGATTTTTCATATTATCGATTTGTCAATGTTACTGATTTTTCACATTATCGATTTGTCAGTGTTACCGATGTGTCAGTGTTACTGATTTGTCAGTGTTACTAATTTGTCAGTGTAACTGATTTGTCAGTGTAACTGATTTGTCAGTGTAACTGATTTGTCAGTGTAACTGATTTGTCAGTGTTACTGATTTGTCAGTGTTACTGATTTGTCAGTGTAACTGATTTGTCAGTGTTACTGATTTGTCAGTGTTACTGATTTGTCAGTGTTACCGATGTGTCAGTGTTACTGATTTGTCAGTGTAACTGATTTGTCAGTGTTACCGATGTGTCAGTGTTACTGATTTGTCAGTGTTACCGATGTGTCAGTGTAACTAATTTGTCAGTGTAACTGATTTGTCAGTGTTACTGATGTGTCAGTGTAACTGATTTGTCAGTGTTACTGATTTGTCAGTGTTACCGATGTGTCAGTGTTACTGATTTGTCAGTGTAACTGATTTGTCAGTGTTACTGATTTGTCAGTGTTACTGATTTTTCACATTATCGATTTGTCAATGTTACTGATTTTTCACATTACTGATTTGTCAGTGTTACTGATTTGTCAGTGTTACTGATTTGTCAGTGTTACTGATTTTTCACATTATCGATTTGTCAGTGTTACTGATTTGTCAATGTTACTGATTTTTCACATTATCGATTTGTCAGTGTTACTGATTTTTCACATTATCGATTTGTCAGTGTTACTAATTTGTCAGTGTTACTGATTTGTCAGTGTTACTGATTTTTCACATTATCGATTTGTCAATGTTACTGATTTTTCACATTATCGATTTGTCAGTGTTACCGATGTGTCAGTGTTACTGATTTGTCAGTGTTACTAATTTGTCAGTGTTACTGATTTGTCAGTGTTACTGATTTGTCAGTGTTACTGATTTGTCAGTGTTACTGATTTGTCAGTGTTACTGATTTTTCACATTATCGATTTGTCAGTGTAACTGATTTGTCAGTGTAACTGATTTGTCAGTGTTACTGATTTTTCACATTATCGATTTGTCAGTGTTACTGATTTGTCAATGTTACTGATTTTTCACATTATCGATTTGTCAGTATCACGGAGTTGCTATAGCTATAAATTTGTCAATGAAATGAATTTTTGGAGTAATTGAATTCTTTGTCACTTGCATTAATTGCTTGTTATTTACCAATAAATGATATGCAAATTGTCCGGAAAGGAATGAATGAAATACTATGATGACATTTTTCAAAAAAAGAACGAGTTCCTTTGTTATCGAAAGCTCCAGGTATGAAACGCTGTGAGACCCGACAAACGGTAGCTCTCATGTCCACACGCATGCGTGGTTTTTATTAACAGCTTAATTCTATGGTGCTGAAATACAGATGTGGCTGAATATATAAGTGGCCTGGTCAGCCGGACTGTCAGACGGTCGCACGCTTCACCGACAGCCAGCCGAACAAAATGAAAACAATTGCCATCATCGGTGCGGGGTGTAGCGGCCTGACAGCGATAAAGTGTTGTTTAGATGAGGGACTGACCCCTGTCTGTTTTGAAAGAGAAAATGACATCGGTGGATTGTGGAATTATAAAGAAAATCCAAAAGTGGGGACGGGAAGTGTATATCGGTCATGTGTAATGAACACAAGTAAAGAAATGATGGCATTTAGTGACTTTCCACCTCCAGAAGATTTTCCAGTTTTTCTCCCTCATAAATATGTCAATAAATATTTCCAACTTTACGCGGACAATTTCGATTTGAGGAAATATATCAACTTCCAAACGGACGTTACTCAAATAGTCCCGTCTCCGGATTACGATCGATCCGGTTGTTGGGACGTAACCTTTTGTTCATGCGCTGGATTTAATTCCGGAAAAGTGACACGAAGATTTGATGGAGTCTTGATTTGCACTGGACATCATACTTTTCCAATGATCCCTAAATTCGAGGGCAAGGATGACTTTCAAGGAAAGGTACTACATACTCACGGGTACCGCTCTAACCGGGATCTGGCAGACAAAAAGGTTCTGGTGGTTGGTAAGTTTGATTCATTAACATGTAATTGAGATTCATATCTTAATTGATTTTTTCCCTTTGTATCTAAACGTGTCGCGTAAATCAACATCATTATATACCATCTGTGTATAGTGGACACATGATTTAAACGTCTTTGTGAACTTTTCGTGAATGTATAATAATAGTACTGGTTTGTAATTTCTGGATTTTGTACTTTGAAAAACCCAATATATTATCGTTCTAAAATGACAGGTGTTCCTGGTTTTGATAGTGGAACAAAACAAATACGGGGTTGACTAGAGATATAAGAGCGATACAGCCTAGCTTAATGTTTAACTTTCTTTTGGTAAAATGTTGGTAATTGGTTTAAACATCGTTATAGTAACAGTGACCTGTTCGTGAAAAATAGGCTTTGACAACCAATATTATTGTAGATGTATTGAAAACGTTTTCGTCAGTTTGGTAAGTGTAGATACACCAGTCATGTCGATACATGACTATCTCGAACACTGCTTACTTCAGTGTTAATAAGCGGGTGCAAACATCAGACATTTATTCTATACCATTAGAGACAAACATAAAACATTTCATGATTTTTTGGTTTTCAGAATTTCTGCTATAGCAGAAAAAACGGTACAAGAAAATCAAGCATAACGCTAGAAAATGAAACATTTTGCTTTATCAGTCAAATTCACATTTAGTACATGTAGATGTTAGCTAAGGACAAATACGGAAGCTAATGTGTTGTAAACAGATGATAGCTAAAGTGTTGTAAACAGATGATAATTTATGTGTTGTAAACAGATGATAGCTAATGTTTTAATCAGATGATAGGTAGTGTTGTAAACAGAAGATGATTTATGTGTTGTAAACAGATGATAGCTAAAGTGTTGTAAACAGATGATAGCTAAAGTGTTGTAAACAGATGATAATTTATGTGTTGTAAACAGATGATAGCTAAAGTGTTGTAAACAGATGATAGCTAATGTTTTAATCAGATGATAGGTAGTGTTGTAAATAGAAGATGATTTATGTGTTTTAAACAGATGATAGCGAAGCGCTACGATTTTATTAAATTACGTGTACTATTGTACCGATTGGTGTAACATTTTATAGTCACCAATATAAACAGAAAGGTTTTTGTTAATCGGAGGATTTCTTGTGTCTTTCTATTGGAGAACATTTCAAAGAATTATCACATCTTGTTATCTTATCATTGATTAGAAGCAATAAATTGTTTGAAAAATAAAAAAAATGTTTTATCACATTTTAAAGAACATCATAACTAAGATCTAAATTGGTGAATTGAAAACATGTGCTTGTTTATATTGCTTCGAGTTCTGAATTTGCATCCCTCATTCTGTTTTTCCTTTTGAAAAAAAATCATTTTTTTACGTTTCCAAAAATTAAGGATTATGACCCCAAAATCATCGAAATTTTCAACAGACTGTAAAACAATACAAAACAAAAGACAGAACTCCTAGCATTACTGACCTAGACGGACAACACAGCTGTATTATCGTTGGCTCTATTGTGTGCTAACTAATATAATTTGTATTGAAAGCCGCTACCAACTTTAGTGACCTTAACTGCAACTTCAAAATGCTCTTGCGCTCCATTTGAAAATGAACCTTTCCGAAGAACAAGAAATTAAATTAGTATGCCTTCTTCTTGTACATTAGTATTTGATTATGCCGATTTAGTTATTTATTAGGTATGAGACACGTCTATTAAATCCTAACAACATACGTTGCATTGATTTTCTTCTTCTTGGTTTCATCCCTCCCTTCTTCACTCTGTCATTCATATACTAGTACAGTCAATCGTTCCATGCTATTCCTGTCCCCATGTAAACGCCCTCGTGGTTGGCCCTGAAACACGTGTTAATACACCAACTCTCTATATATAATACTATCTGTATTCTACTTTGTGTTTGTTTTACAAGACATCTGTAACTCTAACAATGCAATGTCAATGGGGGTCATATTTGTTTGTAGTGTAAATAATACCGACAGGATGTTGGGAATATTTGACTCGAAATGTATATCAAGTTATGTGAATCTGGCTGGTGTTCTCGAAAAAATGTTTGTTTTTTTAAGTCTACCAGATCAGAGACGTGTATATATATAAGTGTCATATGTAGTGCCATTTCCATTTTAGAATAAAAAATAATAGTGACATCATTACTGTATTATTCATAAAACATCAATACACAACCTGTCATTTTTTTGATAAATTATAAAGATATTATTTGAAATTCATGAAATTTAATTTTTGATATGATTTAAAACATTTAGAAAATAATTTTGTGCTCAAAAGTCTATTCGTTCGTTTTGTTCCAATGCGCATAATATACATTATCAATGATTAAGATAAAACTTCTGTATAAACCAGACGTAGAAAGGCAACTGAATTACATTTTCTGTATAGAGTTAAAACAGATCAACGAAAAAGCGAGTTTGTTTTGGAAGCAATTAAGGTTTTAGTTTGTTAATTGGTTGATATTGTTAAACTTTCCACATTGAAGTATGGTGTTTCTAGTCCCGAACATTCACTTGCTTTGTTATATGTATTTCAGACAGAGTTTACTATAGGCCTTATGCTGGCCATTCCATTCTCTATGTAATGTATGTTGATTTATAGGTAAATTTTCTGTCTTACACAAGGGACGTTACTCCCATAAACAACATTACTTTTTCAAACTTATCACGGTATGTAGGAAGCACAGTTCAAAGAAACTGAATCAAGGGAAAGTATGATAACACTAGTATAGTGAACTCCGTCAATCTCACAAAATACCGAAATACATTCAAATGTGTGTGTGTGCGTGAGCGTGTGCGTGTGTGTGTGTAATGTCATGTCTAAATATGACATATGCTGGTTATTTCAAGTACGACTAAATCACTTAAGGTGAACGTTTAATAATCAAATTTAATTTACAAAAAAACATGTTCTTGTGTATTATACGGCGGTCAATGTAGAAAATGTTCCTAGTGCATTACAATAGGTTGTTGGGGGTATTTATTTGTGTGTCTTTTGTACAATCTTCGAAATGGCAGGTAGAGGGCCTTTTTTCCCGGAGTTTGCAATAACTGACATGCAACGTTTTAATTCAATCGAAAAGTGACACGATTAAGAATATTCGCATGTACTTGACGTTCTTCTGAAATTAGCAGATTTCGGAAAATTACGATTTTTTTTCTTCCATCGCCTCAGAGACTTAACCTTTTACGCCTTTAGTGTCTCTGACGAGTCCTAGAAGAACGACAGATGTATGATGACGTTTAATTAATTATTTCGGCCAATTTAATTCTAAATTTGTATTCAATACTGCTGTCTTCTTGTGTCTGTTTTGTACAAACTTCATGATATGCCTATGACAGCCATAGATGCATTATATGCATGTGTTTCTTACTGTCATTATTTTGAGTTGTTTTTTTTTTTTTTTTTTAATGTTTGTGGAGCGTCTAACATTTATCATTGTTAAGGTTTAGTAGTGATCCTCTGTATAAAGAAAATATACATTCTGTCATAAATAAAAGAGTTTTCAAATGATAATATGTAAAATATGGGATTGACTGTTAAGAGATGAAAATCATTTTCAACATATTATCAAATGTTTCCAAGTAGAATTTCAAGAATATTAAGGATTATAGAATTATAATACAAAACAGACAAACGTGAATGATTCCATTCCTATTAACCGATACACATTATGTCCGAAAAATCAGTTTAACTAAAATATACAGCTGTTCTGTCTTCCTAAGTCTCTTATGGTGCCGGAGATTTAAGTTGATGACATTAAGCAACATTGTCTACGTTAAAAGAAAATCCACTTTATATCGATTTTGTATAATTTGATCTTATACTTACATTGTATCGATCGATCATATCGATCTCTGTCTCGATCTTATTCGATAAAGACCTGATATTTGTTACATAATTTATTGCAGGAATAGGGAACTCTGGGGCAGATATTGCAGTCGACATAAGCCATGCGGCCTCACAGGTGAGGCAGACGTACTATAAACAGCGATACTAATTAATATCAGATAGGTGTCTCTTTTTTATATCCCATTTCTGACCTTATTCAGCGGTAATCTGCACACATATGGCTTAATGACAACCTGTATTTTATTTGCTATCCAGCGGAAAGTAACTTGGTGAAGACGAAAGACAAATTGTATTATCGACGTCATAATAGAAAACGGTGCTCCGTTAACTACATATTGACATGACTATCTGAAAAATCAATGTGCGTTCTTTGCTTTATATATCTTTGTATTTTGGTATTTCTTCCCCTCATTAGCCTCAGTTATCATTTTGAAAACGTAATCGAGCAAAGCTTTTACCAATATTAATATTGAATTGACGTCAATGACCCAGACGATGTTTACACTTTCTAGTGTTGTAAGCGACCTTTATAAATGTCTTAGTGATAGCTGTAAAATCAAAGTGCAATGTCATAAACACTATTTCTCGTGTTGAATATATATATATATATATATATTTTATGAATTTGCAGGTGTATCTAAGCACGCGCAGGGGTGCGTGGATCATCAACCGGAAGGGGTTCTGGGGACTTCCGGCGGATGCAATGGCCAATAGCAGATTTGCCTTCATGCTGCCAAAGAGGGCTCTCCAGTGGGGAGTTGAGAAAATGTCAAATTTCAACTTTGATCACAAGAAGTACGGCATCAGACCAGCACACAGGTGAAACTGATTTCACAATACACCACGTTCCGTGATTTACACCACAAGATACCCTCTAAGGGACTCTGAACTATAGATAACTTTTACACAATTACAAATGATATTATTAAATGCCTTTTCGAGATATTTTATCTAACAAATTTTAACACACCGAAAATTTAGCTCTCTGCAGATCAATAAGTCAATTTAAATGAAAGTTGTTTGTTTACATGTTTTAGATGTCAATGTTTTTTCTCATGGCAGGGCCTTACAGTCACATCCCACAATAAACGATGAACTTCCTCTTCGTCTTTTAACCGGATGTATCAAGATCAAACCAAATGTCCGCCATTTCTCTAACGACAAAGTCACTTTTGAGGACGGGAGTTCTGAAGAGATCGACACAGTTGTGTTTGCCACTGGTTACAATTACAGGATCCCAATAGTAGACGAATCCATTACAAGGGTGAAAGATAACGAAACCTGTCTCTACAAGTTTATGTACCCTCCGCACCTTAAACATCCCACTCTAGGCATTATTGGACTTGTCCAGGCTATCGGAGCCGTGATGCCAATATCGGAAATACAGTGCCGATGGTACACTAGGGTCATAAAGGGTGAGGTGATTTAGCGCTTTCAAATTTTGCGAAAAAAAAAAAAAATGGAAAATTGAATACAGTTTTTAGTAAAATTATCATGATCTTAATATCGTTTTATTAGAATGTAGATTTTTGGTATTCCCTGGGGTAAATGTGGTTAATTCCAGTCTTACTCCAAATCAGATACCTGCTTTTCTCCTTTGTTTCATCCAGATAGAATGGAGCGCCTTTGGAATTGCTAATGATAGTTTTTTTTTATTTGTATCGATGTCTTTAAATATCAATCAAGCAGAATGTGTCGCTCCTTAATGTTTGAATTACTAAGATACGAGGTATATATAAGCTGGAAAACTTGACACGTATCACTAGAGGATATATAGATATAGTATTGACATCTTTTCCGGAATAATGCAGAAACTGACCTTTTTTTTAACTCGCATTCATTTTCTGTTTTTCTAAGGACTGTGCAAACTTCCAACGGAGGCAGAAATGATGGCAGACATAGCGCTGAAAAGAGAGACGGTTGCTAGTGGTTACTACACCGCAAAACGTCACACTATCCAGGTAGGTCTGTGTCGCGTACGCCAATAGGAAACTGGAGGTTATCTCCCCTTACTAGTGCAGAATCATATTTTCTTGCTAAATGTGTCCATATTTGGACGATATTAATGCACAAATAGCTTTAAATGATTGGATACAATGACATGACAACGACTTTTTTCGGAAAATTTGCTTCAATAGAAAAAAAAACAAAAACAAAAACAAAACAAAAAAACAAAAACGAGAAACGGTGATTAACAATATTATGTTGTAACATCAGGTCATTTTCAAAATAATATTTATGATAGTTGTCCACTTCACATTGACTGCATGGGTACTCTTAATCCACGACCTGTAAAATAAGTAAAAGTGACTTATTAGACTATAATTATCAACGAAATCAACTTTCAAACCACGAAAACTGAGCCCCACAAACAGATGATTAAACTGACGAAACCTGTCATTGAAGTAACTAGTATTGATATAGTGTTAATGTTCTGGAGTTGCTTCTTTTTGTTTTGTATTAATTAGCATGTCACATAAACATCAAAGTCACGGTATATGATATCATTAACACTGCATAAATCCACTGATCATACGAAATACCTTTATCGATAAAACAATTAAACGTTAACATCAGCTGAAGTATATAAGACCTACATTCTTTTGTTCTCTTAGACTTTCTGGATAGACTACATGGATGATGTTGCGGAACAATTTGGCGCGAAACCTAACTTATGGCGAACATTTACCGAGGAGCCATACCTTGCCCTGAACTGTGTGTTCGGTCCATGCCTTCCCGCTCAGTACCGCTTAGAGGGACCAGGGAAATGGAACGGCGCCAAATCCTCAATCCTTAATGCCATGAAACGATATAGCGCTTCAATGAGGACTAAAGTTATGCCAAAGAATCATAACTTGTCTGGAATTCAAAACACAAACGACAGTTCAGCATCGACTGAAAAACAAAGCCTTGATTCGTCGTGTACAGGACCCTGGAACCGTAAATTTGCCATGACGACAAACAAGAACGACAACTCACCTCAGAAAACTACTGTAGCCAATATTAATATTGCTTCTTTCCCAACCTTTTTGAAATCCTTCTACACACTGTTCATTGTCATGTTTTTGTTCTTTTGCATGTGTCTTGTATGAACCTCAAAGGAAGATATATGGCAATTCACGAACTACGAAGCAAACGTGTTCCAAATAAGATTTGTAAAAAAAATAAAAAACAAAAAACAAAAAAACTGCCCCATACTTTGAACTATTATTCCGATATTGCTATATAATTGTCTTATTTATATGTAATGCTTTATAATTCACATGTATCTGATACGTCATCCATCTATTCGCACCACCGTCCACCACGTTTTCTGTAAAATTGACTTATTGATGTAAGTCAGAAAGGGTTCCATTTTAACTACTCTTTTGCATGTGATCCTATTCGTAATGGCTTTGTAAGTCACAAAATAGCTTTGTTTTGTTTATAGTGATGTTGTAGTACTTCAGCAATAAAATTGCATCAGTATGCTATCAGTAAGTTTGATATTAATTGCAATTGCGACATATATTTTATCGCTTTAATTCTTTTTATTTTATTATTTTTTTTTTTGAGTTGTTCGGTGTAAAAATGTAACTTTCGATTTATAATCATATTGTGATGTGTATGGCGTCAGTATCGCCTCTATGTGTCATTTTAACAATAACTGTAATAGACCTAATCGTTTACTAAGGCTAGAATCCATTTATGTCACAATAAAATGTACGTATGTATATATTTTAATTTCAATATCACAAGTTTATTTTCCTATAATTTGGTAACATTAACATCAAATTATCAAAGCCTTTATTTAAAAACAAGCGACGAAATCTGTTGGAGTTTCGCAAAAACAAAAGTTAAGCGAGTTTTTAAACGTTGTTGTCGACAGTTAAGATTTCGTTTAATAACGGCATATGTCATTATCAAAAATAAAGGGACATAACTCATGTAAAATATTTGATAATTAAAAAAAGTGATTTCGGTTTGTTACTCTGTTAATCAATATATTCATCTCGAATCCAGAGTTAAATTTTTCGTGAAAATGTGACAGAGCATGATTTGAAAAGTAAAACGACCATCAATACTTTTCGAAAAGACCGTGTTTTTCGTTTTGGATTATTGAACGGTCAGAGCTGCAAAAATATTTAAATGTCAATTAAAACCCGTTTGCTATTTAGATTCTAGATTCAGTCTCCAAACAGAAATATTTCCCAGAATTAATTATTTCGATCCCATACAGAAAAGGGAACTGCTATGCATTCTGGAAGATTAAAGATGGCAGACCAAAACGTCGGACATGGGTCAACTTTAGTTTTATGGTTGAAACGCCTGATAACTGAAGTACAGTTTCGTTATTATCTGCTAACACTTATGAAGAATATCATGCTATGTTACGTATATTTGTATTTACTCTATATGTATCGTGCCATATTTACATTAAACTGTTATCTATTATTGACGTTTCTTTTGTGTTAATGAATTCCCAGTTTATTTCCTCTAGACAGAAAACGTTTTTCTTCTTAAACATTAGTAAACGTCACAGTATGGAAAGTTTGTGTTATGCCAGATAGATTGGTAACGAGGCCATGATATAATCTGTTTTTAGTTCATCAACACATAACAACCACAAATTCACCTTAAAACAATTTTTATTATACCTTTGTTCTATTCTCGTTCACCAGCCTCTAAGCTATTTCCTTAAGCTTTAGAAACAGTTTACGGAAAAAGCCGAAAGGTTGTGAGCGAGATCATCTCAATTTCAAATAATTTTTTTTTCTTCAAATCACGAGCGCATAGTCTCATCATTAAGAAATAAGAGACAGACATAAGTTATAAATTATGATTTATTTTGAAAAAAGTATAATCTCAACATATGTATCATATCTGTTTCCGTAAAGGTTTTTCTATTGATAAAAACGTCAAAAACAGGCGGAAAGTTTATTCTTTTTACTTTTATAATTAATCTCTTGGTTTGAATTTTATTATTGCTTTACGTCCCATAACAGTCGGGATCATTAAGGACGTGCCCGGTTTGCATCGTGGAGGAAATCCAGTGCTCCCAGAGAAAAATCACCGACCTGCGGCAAACACCTCGCAATTGCCCTAATTAGTCCTCAAACTTGTTAACAGAGGTGGATGTGATGAGAATCCACTTCAATAAAATAAATGATAGAAATACATTAGGTTGCTTCTATAGATAAGCAGAAATCCATTTCAATATTTTACTGTTATATGATACTTTAAACAAATCACAAACATTGTTAAATAGCTGCCATATGGTCTAGACACACAGAGTGCTACTCCAATTGTATATTATTTAGAAATCTGTCTTCAAAGTCCGATTTCGTCATGGTAGAATAACAAACCGTTTCATAATTATTGTGATCAAAATGGTGACCTTGAAAATTGGCGCTGGTGATCAAAACCTGAGCACTTTTGTTCTTTACCCCAGCGGCGAACTTGCCATGGAACGTCGACTTTGGATTGGTTATTTTATTAATCACGTGATCTTTTACGTAGGAACGATATTTTGGCGAAAATGCGCCCAGGACAGCATTTGTCAAACCTTGGTAAGCCTCTGGATCATCAGGCTTGTACCCCGGACCAAACTTCCAATAAGGAATGAACTTCGGGGGATTCTTTTTTGGGACGCGGACGTTTACGATTTCTCTTACGTAAATTGCCTTCAGATTTGCAGTGGATTGATTGTCAAGCATGAAAAAGCATATCTCAAGCAGCCGTTCTAGATCCATGAATGGAGTAACAATGTATACTTCTGTAGAGACCTCGGAGAACCACTGTTGTAGAAGGGACTGCCATACCGGATATATATCTGTTCGCCCATTTACGAATTGTCCAATAGATATTTCTTCTGGCTTCTTAATTTGCCTCTCTTCCTTTGAATTATAAAAGTAAAAAACAATCATTGAACATATTCTACGGATTTTTTTTATGTCCAATCTACAGTTTTAGTTGTATTTATGTACAAAATCATATAATTTATTGTTATCTTGAAATAATATTACCATTATTAATCTATATTGATAACATGAATAATCAAAACTTTATAAACCTGTCTAACTTTTGGCTAACATTGATTATTTTTCTCTACATTCATATCTGTTTGTTTAAGTACGCACTTGCTCTGAAGAGATGTTCCCTTTTGTTTCCGTTTTCTTTGATTTCGCAACAGCTTTAATATCGTTTGACTGGCTCTCATCCGCCTTCCGTTTTGTTGGCCTGTTTATGTGAATGCAATCTTCAATATTCATACGAAAAGGCAGTAATCATGATTAACTACACATCGAATCTTAAATCAGTTTTCCATTCTTACGAGGTTTTGTGTGGCGAGTTTCTGACGAGCTTCACAAAGGCTATTATGAAACTTTAAAAAGTCAAGATAAATTTCATCACATAATTCAGAAAAAAAATCAAATTTAAACAGGTTTTAAACTAAAAATATAGAGGGAAAATCAGAGGTGACCATTCTGTTGGGTCATTTAGAGGGTTAGTGCCCCTCCCCATTTAGATTAAAACTTTTCTTCCGATCATTTTGGATTTTCCTTAGTCGCCTCCATGGCTTCAAAATTTCGGTCCATAGCATCACTAACGAGTCCTAGAAGGACGAAACAGCAGCATGATTCAGTTTAATTAATTGATTGGTTCTACTGTATCTAAGTTTTATTCAATGGTAGTAATTACTTTGTGTCTCTTGTAATATCATTCATGTACGATAGATTCTTAACCGGAACACCTCGCCCCATCCTGATGCATATCTAATATTTTGATACTTATATTGCAATGACGACGAAGTAAATTAGCTTTAGCTGCTGTTGTAGATCTATACTGTCTTACGATACATACGGGATCTTAGATCAGAGTCTATGTAATCAATTTAACGCGTTCAATAATTTGGTGTTTAACGGGCCTTCAGGCGAGTGACATATTAGATCCTTTAACGAACTTAATCAATTCGATATTACATCGGCATGAGTGTAAGATTCTCTTTACCATATAACCCGTATTTTTAAAAATAAGCGCAATATCTCAAATTGATTTCTCAATACTTTGGTGCAGACGGTACGTATTTTACTAAAGAACCATTCGTGTGACGTCATGAAGATGCGACTTAGTGACGGAATTAATCAACGCGATCTACATATGTTAGTTACAATATTTATGGAATTGTAGCACGACATAATACAATAGTTATGTATTACAGCACTTTTTGGCAAGGTCCTGACTTCGGTTCACATAGCTAAGTAAACCCAAACTTTCTGAAGTATCAATGTACCTACAACCCTTCCTTCCCTTATTATCAGAGTAATACATTATCTCATTTAGTCTCATTTTGTCATACATCAGTTGTTTTAGTTTTGAACATATTTTTGATTAATTTTTCAGTTTTTCAGTGATTGAAGATACAGGAGAAAAAAAGGTTTTTGGGTGTCAGTATATGATATATAAGTATTAGCCTGCTCATGAAGTGTTATCCTGCCTGCCTGGGTATCACTGTGTATTTTACCAGGACTACATTGTATACTTTACTAACATAGTCTGAAAGAACCAAAGCTTATAGGTACAATATAGCACGATATTATACAAAGTGTTAAGTCGCGGATCTGTATGTTACTGCACTGCATAAATTTTGGAACAAATTACCTTACCATCTTTTGTTTTACATTAGGTTCCACCAACGTTGAACTTCCTAGGTCACCTCCTAGATTTCAGGAGAATAGACCCTCAGCATCATGGACAATCGCTGTATACTGCTGTTAAGTTCATGATTTGGTTCTACATCATCTGAATCTGTGTCTTTCAAGTGTATGTCGTAAGTATAACCTTAAACCACTAATGTTATTAACATTTTCCCACGTAAGTTCAATGGGGATAACCATGCAAATGTAGAAGTTGTCATTTGTCTTTTTCTCAGCAATGTCGTATAAGGTTAAAACATTGCTATAGTTGTCTGGTCTGGTATTTAGTTAAGGGGTTTATTGACACGAATGATATCGTTTTGCAGGGTTAAACTCATTCATTTCTACACTGTCCAATCATATCGATTCCTTGTTCACACCATATTTTTAGAGTTGTACACTTTCTTATCAGGCTC